GCTGAGATCCAGCCACTGCACTCCAGCCTGGGCGACAGAGCGAGACTCCGTCTCAAAAAAAAAACAAAAACAAAATGACTGTGGAAGAAAACCTGGGAGAGTCTCCGTTACTGCAGCGAAAGGGCTTCTTCAAGCTTAGATCTGTGAACGCAGAAACAAGAGAGGGTCATCCACAGGATCCACCAATGCCTCGTGCCTCTGTGGTCACAGGTGCCCTGGCAGGACTGACAGCCCAGAGACAGCCTGGAGACCTCCATAGTGTCAGGGACGGTGACAGGGAGGCCGAGCTGCCAGGCGGAGGTACTGGTTCTGTCTGGGAAGTGGAAGCCACAGAGGCCTGTGTACCGCCCACTCGACCCTGGCTCTCACTTGTGTCAACTGGGCATGAAAACCAACCACAGCCAGGTTCGCCCTGCTGCCGGCCCACATGGCCCCACTGGGTGACAGCCGTGTGCTCTCCCCCAGGGTTCAGCGTGGACTGGTGGGCACTGGGCGTCCTCATGTTTGAGATGATGGCCGGGCGCTCCCCATTCGACATCATCACCGACAACCCGGACATGAACACAGAGGACTACCTTTTCCAAGGTGCGTGCCCTGCTGCGCGTTCGTCCCCCTCACCTGCATGACTGCCTTCCTTCCTTTTCAAAGGTGCAGGTGGAGGGGTCCTGTGGGGGCCAGGAGCAGCAGTGCCACGCAAAGCATACCAGGACCCATTCCTCCTGGCCGGACCTTGTCCCACATGCCACTCCCCGGGCCGTGGGGTGGGGTGACCCCACCTGTGGGTCAGCAGGAAAGAGAACCTGTCCCGATTCAGCTCCAACTCCCTCCTGCCCTGGCCAGCAGCACATCTTGGAGCCCCAGCTATTGGCTGTACGGAGCTGAAAGCACAGCCCTCGCCCCCAAAACCCACAGCCATCATCATGGGCTCCTTCCCACCTGGAGGCCCCGGGACCTGCTTCTGGTCTGGAATTCAGTGCCGCGGGATGTGGGGGTCCGGGAACGCGGCTGTCTCCGCTGTGCCCTCTGGTGGCCAGTGTGCAGAGGCACCCATGCATCTGCGATCTTGGGGCTGAGGAGGGGGAGCCACTGGTTCACGCCCGTTCCCACAACACGTGCCAGCACATGTAACCGGGAGGCCCAGGGAGGACCCGGCGGGACTTTGGGTTATAGATATTGCTGGGCTGTAGGAAGGGAGGGGGCTCCAGAGCCCCAAGTCTGAGCTCCCAAAGCTCCTGCTCAGAATAGGAGTCTGGGCGGCGCTGGGCAAATCGCACACACGCGGGGAAGTGCTCACCAGGCTCCGCCCTTGCAGTGATCCTGGAGAAGCCCATCCGGATCCCCCGGTTCCTGTCCGTCAAAGCCTCCCATGTTTTAAAAGGATTTTTAAATAAGGTACGTTTCTGGCCGTGCTGACAAACTCGTTTGTGGCCTCGGTGTCGGTGGGCAGAGGGCCAGTCACGGCTGTTGGCCATTTTTTCACGTCGGCTGCTATGTATCGGGTGTGTGGGCTGATTTTTCGCTTCAGTATTTGAGCTCTGTTCTGTGAGTCGTCCGTTTTTACTCACACCTAACAAAATGAGAACGTGTGCCCAAGGAAAACGGAACGAAGCCTAACGTGGGGGAAGGAGCTTTCAGTAAAGGAAACGTCTGATTTCCACCCGCTGGGTCAGAGCATCCGGGGAGGGCTTGTCAGCACTAGGAGCAGCCACCAAGGAGAGCGGGTCGGGGCTTCCGGGATGGGGCTGACTTGTCCTTGTTTGAACTCTAACCTCCAGGACCCCAAAGAGAGGCTCGGCTGCCGGCCACAGACTGGATTTTCCGACATCAAGTCCCACGCGTTCTTCCGCAGCATAGACTGGGACTTGGTAAAGCGTCACAAAGCCCATTTACACCCCATCGCCACCCCAACCCCACATCCACGCAACCCCACCCCACATCCACCCAACCCCACCCCACCCCATCCGAACCCCAACCCAATGTCCACCCAACC